AAAATAAGGTCCGATAAAAAAATAGTATCATCTACGTCTGCATTTGGATTATTGTATAATTTTATTATTATTATTATCAGTATATGATAAAGGGGTCTCTTTCAACACTTATTATTTACAGGTCTCTTTACGATTTAAATCCCTCGGGAATATATGCCTGAATATAAGAGAACATGTTTAGAATAGGTTTTGTCCTTTTATAACCTTCTCCATTTATTCATTCATCATAAAGACGGCACCGCAAAAATTATTGTGCCGTCTTCCAGTGTGTATTTTCTTCGAGGGAAACAAGTAATTTCCAGCACACTCCAGAAATCTCCAGCGTTCTCCAGCAATTTTCTCCAGAATTCTCCAGCAATTTTCTCCAGAATTCTCCAGCGTTCTCCAGCGTTCTCCAGCAAATTTCTCCAGAATTCTCCAGCGTTCTCCAGCAATTTTCTCCAGAATTCTCCAGCAATTTTCTCCAGAATTCTCCAGCGTTCTCCAGCGTTCTCCAGCAAATTTCTCCAGAATTCTCCAGCGTTCTCCAGCAATTTTCTCCAGAATTCTCCAGCGTTCTCCAGCAATTTTCTCCAGAATTCTCCAGCGTTCTCCAGCAATTTTCTCCAGAATTCTCCAGCAAATTTCTCCAGAATTCTCCAGCGTTCTCCAGCAAATTTCTCCAGAATTCTTCAGCAAATTTCTCCAGAATTCTCCAGCAAATTTCTCCAGAATTCTCCAGCGTTCTCCAGCAAATTTCTCCAGAATTCTCCAGCGTTCTCCAGCAAATTTCTCCAGAATTCTCCAGCAATTTTCTCCAGAATTCTCCAGCGTTCTCCAGCAATTTTCTCCAGAATTCTCCAGCGTTCTCCAGCAATTTTCTCCAGAATTCTCCAGCAAATTTCTCCAGAATTCTCCAGCGTTCTCCAGAATTCTCCAGCAATTTTCTCCAGAATTCTCCAGCAAATTTCTCCAGAATTCTCCAGCGTTCTCCAGCAAATTTCTCCAGAATTTTCCAGCAAATTTCTCCAGCGTTCTCCAGCAATTTTCTCCAGAATTCTCCAGCAAATTTCTCCAGAATTCTCCAGCGTTCTCCAGCAATTTTCTCCAGAATTCTCCAGCGTTCTCCAGCAATTTTCTCCAGAATTCTCCAGCGTTCTCCAGCAATTTTCTGCAGAATTCTCCAGCGTTCTCCAGCAATTTTCTCCAGAATTCTCCAGCGTTCTCCAGCAATTTTCTCCAGAATTCTCCAGCAAATTTCTCCAGAATTCTCC